TACAGTGATGGACAATTATCATCATCTTGTTTTAACTTTGGCCTTCCACTTCACGTACACTATAAACATCTTATAAAATGGTTCCAAAAAGAAGGTGAAAAACTTGTGTTTAAGATATCTGATTTTGGTACTTGGCCTTCCACTTCACGTACACTATAAACATCTTATAAAAGAATATACTGGAATCATTTCATAATTGTGTTCTAAGAAAATAATCAGTAAAGTTATATACTGTGGTTGTTTTCTTTTTAAAATGTTTATTACAGAAGTAATTCTTGAATGTGCCCAATATGACACACCCAAGTATTAATTCAAATTGTATGTGTAACGATAAAATTACTTTTTTCTCACCAATGTTTAAAATTATACCTATTTTGCTTTGTGTTTTGTCACTTTGAAGTATATTTTAATGAAAAACTGGGGAACTTGTGGGCCTATAGCCCATATTTACAGGACTGCTATAATGCAAGTTTAATTTTTTTAGCCAAATTACAAACAGTAATTAGTAGGCCTACTTATTTACATGCTTTAATGTAAATCAGTGCCAAATTTGGGGGCTGCTTTTGGAAAATCCCTGTCAAAGTGTTTTTTGTGAAATACCCAAGTTCTCTTAAAAGGTTAGGTGAAAAGTTTTATCTTTGTGTAAACATCAGGGCAAAGACAATTCATTTAGCACCATTAAGAAGTAAGTCCAGCGGTTTAGCAGAAGGGGTTTTCAGAAAATCCCCTAGTTTCCCAAGGGGTGGGGTGAACAATTTTACCTCTGTGCAAACCTCGGGACCAAGAAGTCAGTGCAACCAGCAACTTAGGAGGAGTTACATGACACACAGACACTGAATCTTATTATATAGATACTATTATGTAATAAAAAACAAAAATGATATATTTTTATGGTAAAATTTATTCCAGAGAGTGCTATGTTGATACCATATATTAATTAACTTTGTAACGACTGTTGACATGTGTAAAAGTAAATCATCTTCCTCTTTTAACAGCTGCTAATTAAAATATTTATTGTAATGTTGTCAAGCACAGATGTGCTCCTGGTAAATTTTGTCATGCAGCTTGAAAAATATATAAATTTTTTAGTGATTTCACAGTACCATAAAAACAGTTGTCCACTACTGTGTATTCTGCTAAAATCAGGATGTCTGACAGTTTTCCAGAACTGTGTATTCTGTTAAAATCAGGATGTCTGACAGTTCTCCAGAACTGTGTATTCTGTTAAAACCAAGATTATGATAATCGTCCATCACTGTATATTCTGTTAAAACCAATTTGACGATAATTGTCCATCACTGTATATTCTAAGATATCTGATTTTGGTACTTGATATACTTGAAATAACTGTCACATTGCCTTTTTAGCTGAATTTTTGAACTCGTACATACAGATTATTGATGCTCTAGATACGACACCAGCTGTCCTCTGTAAGAATCAAGGCTATCGGTCACATTAATCTCGTGATCAATAAACTGTCATCATTTTGTAATAATCAAGTGGCAATTACACAAATAAAAAGATTCATCGGCAAGAAAAAAAAAGACCAACAAAGGTTAGACTTAAGGAACACTGGTGACTAACAGCACCCTTGGACACCCAGACATCGTTAGCCATCATGGAAAATAGAATGATATGTATCAAGAACATGGATTGGAAAAGTGCCACAATTCTTGTTCGAAAGTCCAACTATACTAGGAGGGGGGAATGAAAGAAGTCCTTCAAATAAACATAAGAAATACAGTACCAGAAAATGGTATTACTAGGGACACAGGATGAGTCGCCATCAACTAGATAAGGTACTCCGTAATCCTACTGGCAAACAGTCTTCTATAATCTAATTTCAAATATCACGTAAGTGTATACTACAGGACATTTTTTCATTTATTTTAGACTCAACTATCATTTCACGTATTACCTTTCATACTGTTTTAAATTGTATATCTATTAATTGTACATGCATTAATTGAATTACTTACCAATTTCCTTATGTTTAACAAATCTGCAAAGCTACAAAAGTAGACAGACGTAATCGGAATATTTACTTATAAAATGTTGTAAATGATCTCGTAATTTTCTCACACTATTGAATTCTACATTTTAAACGTTTCATTTTTATTTAGCTAGTGTTATAAGCACACCTTACAAACAGATGTTTATTTTTTTAAAAGTTGAAGAGCTTGTGGGTTAATAAAACATTATATTATAAAGTGTTACTTCAGCCTGTAATTTACAGTGTAAGTTTCTTTTTATGTTGAATTTAGTTCATTCTGACGAAAAATAAAATAAAATAATAATAATTAATAGATCATCATAGGTGGAGCTTTACTCAAAACTAAGATGGACGAGCCATGGAGCTTTGATTATAATAATATGGACAGTGCGGACGTTGAAAAGATGTATATAAAAGCTGCTTTTAAACTTGTAAGTAATTTATATTATGTGTTACTCTTTATTTAGTTACACGAATTATGAATAAAACCTTAAATTGTAATATTAATTAATATATTTTTGGTCATAATAGAATTTATATATTATTATTACGCTTATGTCGCGAAGTTATGGTCACGTCGGAATGTGAGTCGTGACTGTAGTGAAAATAGGAGATTTATCTTAAAAGTGTATATATATATATGTTTTATTTCACTGTGTAAAAAATATGTTTCAAACGTTTGTGTAGATGTTAAATTGGCATTGCTTATAGATGATATCTTTGTTATGAAAACTAATCAGATGATCGAATAAGCTCCATTATAATTTAATTATTATACTAAATTATACTTTATAATGAATAACTCAATAAGACTCTTCTTTGATCGATTGTTTAGACAGAGTATTTATGATGGAATTTAGTTGAATGGATGGAAACTGCCTGTTGTAAAAACACAAGTATAAAGGACAACTTTTCAAAAGTCTCCCACCTTAAAATCATTAACTAGATAATCCTTCGGTTGGCAGTGTTTTGAGCTACAAACTCATTAGGTCTAGACTGATTAACAGACTGAGGTAAGGCCTAAATGTAATTACAACTATATATCCAAAAATATTGCATAACCATAGGATTTTAGGAATGGTGTACAATTAAAAAGAATATATGCACATAATTTAGATCTTTTATTTAACGTTGTTTAATTAAAGAAACTACAAAAGGATATCACAAGAGTCTACTAGATCTGTAGAAGGTTTTGATGATTTTTAAATAATGAAAATAACAAAATCATCCACACATTATTGGATTCCACAGTGAAAAATTAGTAGATTTACACTGCAAGTTCAATTATAAAGTTAATAATTAATGAAAAGCAATTAAAATTCGTAACTGTAAATTGACCTTTCGGACCATGAGACCTTCCCATTGGAACAATGTTAACAAAATGTCAGTCACTGATATCAAATTATCACTTCACTAAGACTGCTTGAAATCCATGTCAAGGCAAGATAAAAATATAGTCCCAATAAAATCCATCAGTTTCAAACTCATACACTTTGATTCATATTATATGGGTAAATGAAATGGAAAATGGCAGAAGAAAGGTTTAGCGATCATTGTGATTTTTTTTAAAGTCAGTTTACAACTAGTGGGAGCACAGTTGCCTTGAAATAAATCATGCAAACTCAGCGTGTATTAGTACCGTAGACATTTTTCATTGGTTGTTTGGTGTACAATAATTAGTATTTTGTTTATGGGATATTTATATATTGGCAACTGTGATTTCCCATTCACATACTTCAGTGGCTGGTAACCATAATTCTCTGGGACTTCCAACTAGAAGCTGTAATATTAGTAGTACTATTTAGTATTTGTAGAGCATTTTTTGGCTTTTCAATACTTCCAAAATCTTCCCAAGCATGTACTCAATGAGGCACTGAAGGATCAAGTTATCTGTGGATTCCTTCATGCTACCTTTAAATGTACTGTTATTCAGCAGGTTTCATTCCACTTTATGAAGTGACAGTACATAATACGAGGGTGGTGCAAACTTTCGGGCCATAGCTGTAGACTAAACCCTAATGCAAAAATTAATCATTGTGGATATGTAATTGTTAAATATTCTATTCATGAAGACCTATAATGTCGTTAGTATACAAGTACAGTACTTTATAAAGTATAAAAGTAAACATAAATATCGGTACATCTGGCATGAATAATACATGCAAGTAAAATCCTTCTTCTATAGCTAAACATAAGAGAGATTTTAAATGTGCCTAGAAAACCTAATAAAGCATCAACAAGTTTCACTAGCTTCAGTTAGATCTTGTTGTAACTGACCATCGAAATTTTCTACTTCCACAACATGAGATGGTGTAATGAGTTAGAATTTGGCTCATTTATATAACAAATTAAGAATCGTATCTTTATTTTGGGATGCTAAAAATATTATTAATATTAGTATTTAACAGAATGGTATACCCCAAACTATTTTATCCCAGTTTAAATGGTTATATTAAAAGAATTACTTATGTAAAATACAATAATTGTGTTACAACTTTGATACAAAAACAGACCATACCCTTAAAAGGAAAAACTGATCACATTTATTTCAGCCAGAACACTTCGAGTACACTTTCACAGCTGGTTTTCCACTGACATGTGCTAGGATAGTTTACTACTGTACTGTTATCACGCTGTCTGTTTTTTTGTATGTATTAATTAGGGGTCCCATCAGCTTACAAGTGTTAATAATCTCGAATTGACAAATGGAATATAAAATGCTGTTTACCAATTCAATCTAAATTGACATTACACAAAAAAAATAGAATGATGTATATTTGGAAGCTTTATATTAATTTATAAATAGTATTCTTTATGAAGTGCTTTTTAAAAAGTTGTTAATGATGCGTAACTTGTACATACATTATTATTATCTAACATTTGTAGACTGTGTACAGGTAACTTGTATATATTATTATTTAACATTTGTAGACTGTGTACAGGTAAGTTGTATATACATTATTATTATCTAACCACTGTGTCATTTCCTGGGAAGGGGGGGGCTTAAGGGTACATGCCTGGTTTGATGATAGTCATTATAGTGGTTTGCTCGTTATAAATAGACAAAAACAAAGTAATGTAGTACATGAAATGAAATATACATAAACAAATAACATAATTGGAATCTGATGGTTTAAATAGGCTTTGAGTTTGTCAGGTATATATATATATATATATATATATCAGTAATCTTGGCCCATGTTATGATTTAAAGATAATAGATACTATTATAAATGTACAGCTTTAACTCTTTAGAAGTTTATACAGTATAATCTAAGTAGGCTTAGTGAGAAGCAAAATAATACTGTCAGTTTTTCTCATTTGACATAAGTATTAGGTTTTTGTAATTACTTATCTGTTCATGAATTGTTGCAGTACATCTAGCTTAACTTGTGACTATTAACAAATGCCAAATACAAACTTTTCAGTATGATATTTCAGGCAGAAGAAGCATTAGACAATGGAGAAGTACCAGTAGGGTGTGTAATGGTATTTGAAGGTTCCATCATCGCAGAGAGTAGGAACACTGTTAACGAAACAAAAAATGTAAGTTCGATGCCTTTTAAAAATAATTTTTTTTTTTTATGCTGATTATAATCAGACTTTCTTTAAAACTTGAGTTTCTTGAGATCTCTTTATGATTGCTACCATTCTTCAGAACAGTTTTAGGCTTGACCCTTTGTCAGAGAAGAGTTGTCACATGCAAAAGGATAATTAAAACATTAATGAAGATTTTAACTCTTGGACATGGGTTGTCTTACTTATTATAAAAAGAAATATAACCACACGTTTACATACATGATAATCACAAATCTGAGTATAGTTAAATGTGAATCAGAATGTACAGATTTCGCTCAAAAGCTGACAATTTATAGTACCAAATGACGTGCAGAACAATGTGCAAACCGATTAGTACACACACAAGTATAGTAACAGAAACACTTGGTTTATTTCACAGTTCTTATATGTACTTATATTGGATGGAGATGCTGAGAGAAGGAAGTTACGATTAATTTTCAGTTTCAACTGTAAAGTATGTAAAAATATAAACTAATTATCTGCTAATAATTAGTGAACAGGCAACATGAAGCCAGGTTATTTTTCAGTTGTTCGTTTGGAACTGCTTAGCCTTGGCAAGTCGTGCAATCATTATTTTCAAACACTGCATTTTAATGTGGAATGATACTGAGCAGACATATACTGTTAGAGGTGGTAAAGAAATTTATAAAATACATTACAGGACTTCGTTTACATGCTAAAACATAAAGAAATGTATAATATTTCAGTCTCGGAGTAGAATAAATCATCCACTTTCTCAGTTTTTACTTCAAAATGTTTTTGTTGATCTGCATGTGATCTCCATAAATGATTGAGAGAAAAATCTGTTTATAAAGTGTGTATGTACATATTTTTTGTACTTTTTTTATTATCAGTTAAGTGTTTTCTTTTGTTTATTGATTTAGCTATTTCTAACCCAGTTACTAAAAGCAACTTTATAAACCATTAGTGCCTTGCCTACTTACATACAATATTAATAAAAATATTATATAAGTATAATTCTTTTTTTTTACTCCATATGCGCTAAGATTAAATGAAAATAATCTTGGAAAACATTTGAATGGAGAGTTTTTGACAAAAGAAATATTGAATAAATTATCACTATTTCAAAGATATTTGTATTGAAAATAGATCTTTTGTATTAACTTGTGAAACAATCTTATATAAATACCCTATGCTTTAGTGATATTTAAAGTGAGCAACTTAAACTCAGGAAATTGAAAATTAAGTAAAACTGGGAATTGGTAAACAATGTAGTCTGTAACACAGACTGAAGTACCGTAGACATTCTGCAAATAAATTAACTTTACCTCGAGATAAATATTAACTATTACTGAGTCTCGTGAGTAACTGTATCTTTTGATAAAGATGTCAAATGCAATGTGAAAGTAAAATTAATTTATTTACAAAATTAAGTTTAGAATGCATGAAAAAAAACAGTGGGGCGGCTTAGTCCTAACAGCTGTAAACAATGTAAGTTATGAAAAAGTTGAATACTTGATATTGGTTCACATGATAAGTGTTATTCAATTATGCTAAATCGTGAAAAAAATTTTTAGAAGTTCGACAGTCAGCTTTCAACGGGATTTTTCAGTAACATAATACTGTGCAAAGGTGTTCATTGCAATGAAACTTTATTTCCCCATATTTCAACTTTGTGTCAAACTGCAGAAGATATCCATCTGCAGACCAAGACAGTGAGAACAGACTTTTGTTTAAAGGTGGGCAGAGTATTCTCGAGAATACATACTTGATCAGGATTTGATTGTAATCCTGAGCTTAGTTCTTTCATTTAATATCACAATTAGAAAATCATTAGACAAGGCAGTATGTGTAAAATATCAGAAAGTTGAGGTTTAAAGATGAAAAACACGTTAATAAATAGTCTATCCTATATGTTTGCTTTTAAATTAATTTTACTTAAAATTCCTCTACGACTTTACCCTGACTAGGCAGTTCGACATGCTGAAATGAACTGTGTAGATCAAGTTTTCGAGTGGTGCAAGAAGCATGAAAGGGATTCATCACTTGTGTTTAAAAATCTACACGTGTTTGTCAATGTGGAGCCATGTATAATGTGTGCCTCTGCCCTTAGGGTTTTAGGTATCTTTTCTTTATTATTATAGTATAAAAAAAATTAAAACTATTTACAGATGCGTTATGTGACATGTTTAACTTTATTAATTTTTAAAGTTATACTACTAAGTTCACTGGAGTAATTAAGGCATTTTGTGTAATGATAAATATGACCATAAGTTACAGAACTTTTGAAATTGAAACTAAAGATTTGTTTAAGAAACTCAAGCATGACACCTAAGAAATTACTAGAATCACTGAAACCAATCTACAGCAGTATGGCACAGTTCTATGGCTTACCAAAAGGAAGGCATGCCACTCCAATCAGTAGTATTCTTCTGTGGATCAGTAACAAAGTCTCTTTCTTGGTTAGACCATCTAACCACTACTTTTTTTATGTTCCAGTTCAACAAATGAGTTTTTTTTTGTATATTATAAGATGTATCAATCCAATAAAACTTAATCCTTTTCAATCTAGAAGTAGTTTCTCTCTGTACCTATCAATAGTTATCAATTAAGATTTATCAGCATTATTGAATACCGTAGAAAAATACCAAAAAGACGTGAATTTATTATTATTCCCCCGGAAGTTTTAGAACGACGCCTTTACTTTATTCTATCCAAGTGTTATTTTAAGTGCAACAAAAAATATTGAAAGACAAAAACAAGAGTTGTAATGGGGAACAGAATTGTGATAGCTTTTGGTATAGTGGTCATAAACATCTTAGAAAATGGTTCCAAAAAGAAGGTGAAAAATTTGTGCTTTGTATACCTGTATTTAAATATTAAATGCCGTCACATATATGTGACATAGCATTAAACAGTTTTCCACTGATTGGCTTGTACGTTGTTACTATGGGAACCTACACAGGCATCTTCCACAAGCAGTCTGGATAACTTCAGTAGTATAATGTGCTGCCATCTATGAGCCACTAAATTTAACCAATTCTCTCTGCATCTTGAAATAAATAATCATTGGTAAAATTCAACAAAATTAAGACATTTTCAGCTAAAATTATTCTAACCAGGATTAAGATCAACATACACTACAGCCCAACGTAGGCTAAATATAATATTCCACAGTGAAGTCCATTTACTGAACCAGATGGCAACAAATACCAGTAGTCAAACTATCACAATATCGTTTCACCATTAATAAGTTGATCCATTCTCTACAGTTTATGTCAGAGAAAAAAAAACATATGCAAAAACCTAATGAATCAAGGACTTTTCACTTAAAACCATAAACACTTGACTAATATCCTGAGATTAGAAAGAACTTTACTCCCTCAATGTACACAGAAGAGTTATGTGTGTACTTGTAAGTCACTGGAAATACTAGTGAGTACTATTTGGTCTTCTCTGCAGAAACTCTACTATTACTCGACTAGATAGAACGAACATTTCTCTTGAAATATTTGAGGAACAACTCACTCTAGAAAATTTCGGCTGAAAGGGCGAGCATGTTTGGTGTGACGGGGATTTGAACCCGTGACCCTCAGATTGCGAGTCGAGCGCCCTAACCACCTGGCCATGCCGGGGCCCTAACCACCTGGCCGTGCCGTGTCCACCACAGGTATCGAAGACTGGTTTTTAGTGGGGAGGGGGGTGATGATGTTATTATAATGGACGGTTTTGAGTAAGGAAGTACATGATAATATAATAATAGATAAATAAACAACGATTTATAAGCATTAGGGAACGTTTTATTGATGGTGACAGACCAATGTTCTGTCGCGAAACATGTAATACGTTTTTCATCATCAATAAAACTTTCCCTAAATCTTATAAATCGTTCTTTGCCTACCTACCATAACGGACGATCATTTAAACAATAACCAGAAGTGGTGATATTATAACTATGACAAGGAGAAAAAAGTATAAAATAATGACAATAAACTGAAAATCGGGCATCTGGTAATCAATAATATGGAATGCAAGTGACTGGTCATTCAGTTTATAGTTGACCTTCCAAGTGAGTCACAAAGTACCAAAAACTTGGAATCGTTCATGAACCATACATATATGGGCCCGAAGAAGACATTTAAACATTTCACTCATGACCATTGGATAAATAGATGCTAGCCGATCCGAAAAAGGCTATTACAAATTTACTGCAAATGTCTTAAAGCGTCGTTAGCAGAATGTGTAACCGATACAAACTAATGGTACAATTTCTTGGACTACTGGACAATGCAGGCCATCCTATACAATACAACCAGACGACTGCTATTAACCAGTTTTGATCGTAGGGTACCCGAACCAAAGTTTTGCAGCCGTAACTGAACGCCGTGCCATCATTGAGTAGATAGTTTTAATCAGGACATGTGTAATGCTTTCTGAAAAAGTTGTGGTGAAAACGTGGGTAGTTGAAGAAAATGTGCAAGTAAATAGTAACATCAAAGCATTTTGAACATTTCACATAGTCAATGTGATTAATAAGCACGATTCAGGAAATTGTAATTATCGTGTAGTCTTACAAAATTATCGTCTGTTTTTAAGAATCATCGTATTCAATCTTTTCGTAAGAATTCATTCCCATTTTACGTACTTTTCATTTTTATTATTTCTTTACTCTTTTGGAGATCAATATATCTAACATTTTCATAAAGATCTATTAACCCATTTGTTCTGACAATTATACGTATCACCCCTTTTTATTATTTCGAAATAAAACATCTGCTAAGTTATTTTAGGCATCACGCAGAAATTTATCGTCTAGAGGGCGTTAAATACAGGTTGTGCTATCGCTTGTTGTATAGGGGGTAACGTACCTTTTAGTAGTGATAGAAACGAGTTAGAATGTTAAATTACCGACATACAATGCAAGAAAGAAAAATATCGCAAACCGACCCAAAAGTACTGGTTACGAATCCCGCAAAATGAGTCTAATCTAATAGTATTTTTAATTAATATTCTTGGAAACAGTCAGTGACTTCTGTTGAAGGAGTTTGACGTATACTTGGCTATCAATATCGTGATATTTTCGTAGCAGAACACAAAATAAGTTTTCATAAAACGTAATAACATACATATTACTATTATACCTTGAATTTTTCGTTTAATTTCAGAGCATATTTAGTTCATGAAATTAGCAGTTTTTATTAAAACTTTACAAAGTACTCTTCAATCGACGAGGACAGGACCAATCCAATCATGTGTCATATATGTGAACTTGAAGCATACGATGGTCCTGTTTTAAAATTTATATATCAAGTGGTAGAAAATAGAACTATAATAGCTATATATAGTATTTATATAAGTTAATAAATTTTTAACACTTGTTGACGAAGTTGTAAATATTAAGCCTAATGTGGGAAGATTAGGGTAACTAAAGAAGAAATCGTAAATAGTGTGTCACTTGTAACGGATATTTTACTTTCAGAATAATCAGTTATTACTTAAGTTGTGATTATTACACCAGTTTCTTTCACATTAAAGCTTCAATTTAACTCTGCATCATAAAATATTTTATTTGAAAAAAAAATATATATATATATTTGATCTTTTCAGTTTATAGTTGAAATTGCTCATTATATCGTATTCCTTCTTGTTTTTTGTTGTTTGTTTTCATTATTTACATCTCAAAACACCAAATATAACAAAGTGGTATAGAAATGTTGATTAAAACTAGTTGTCTATAAACATTAAACTTACCTAACATACTACTGAATTTTTATTATTCTTTATTGTTTTATTTAAGGCTTTATTAACTTCATAAAGATAATTTTCAAGAAAGTCCTTCCGATATAATAGTCCTGCTAGTAACATCACGAAGGTCTATAATTAATAAAACTGGAGTAAAAAAAAAAAAAGTTGGTTCTAATTGGATCAAGGCTTACTCCAGTATGATCAGGTAACATATGTTGTAACTATATTTAATTTTGAAGTGTGACATCATCTTAGGCCTTAGGAAATCAGTTTTTGGGTGGGAGAACTTCTTGTGGCTGGCTACAAGAGACTTGTATTGTTTCTCAGAGCCTGGAACGTTGATGCTCTGCTAGCCGAATTAATTATTTTTCACTTTGTTTTTCATTAAGGCTAGTTTGTTACGTATTGTTGCCAAGCTGTATCATTCTCTTAAAACGAAGCACTAAAATATAAAATTTGTTCCAATATAAAGGCAGATGCAGCTCTGCAGAATTCAACTAATTGGCAGAAAACTTATCCAGCGTTCTTATCTTCCAGTCTCAGTTCGTAAGATAGTCATGAAGACTGTGGTAAGTCAAGTTGATTTCTGAAATTTCTGTAATATATATATGTTGTGTCATTCGAAGTTTTCTTATATATTAAGAATTGTCCATACGGGGTAGCAGATAGTTAAGTTTAATTCGTCAGAAAAACATTGTAACATCTATATTTCGATGTAAGTTACATTGTAATTACAGTGTATGTAATCAGCAAGTTCATCTTTCTTTTCTTATCTTCAATCATCATAATCACAAATGCCAAGTGTCGGTCGGTCACGCTCGATTTCTCCCAAGTTCATGAGTTAAACGAGTCCAGTTCCACTTTTTCTCTTATAATACTTCTTCTTCTGATCTCCTCTTCCCATTTTAGTTGAATTCAATCGATAACATAGGCGTAAATAGCTCCTACATTTCGGCACATTTTCTGCTATATAAAAGCCTGTCAAAGAGGGAGTTTTTATACCAAGGATTTATTTAGAACCAAGTGAAATTAATCCGTTATTTGTTATGATGAGAAGTTTTTGAACGATGAACGATATCAAATTATATTTTTCTTGTTCAGATGAAAATTGTCTCTCGTCTTGTAGTAGCAGTGCCGAGCGTTTTCATGTTCTAAGCATGCTGAGTTAACTGGTAATCAGGTAATTACCATGATAGTAAAGCCATGTTAAGCCTGAATCACTAACTAACTGTAATTATGAATCACATCAAGCCTGATTTACAAATTTTCTCGTAATTACCATGATAGAAAAATCATGTTAAGCCTGAATAACTAACTGTCTACTAACTATAATGATAAAACAACCACATAGTGATCATGACCGTCAGTAGCTCAGGGGTAAGTCTGAAGACTTCTTAACGCAAAAACCGTATTTTTATATATATTGTTAGTCTCCGTTGCTTAATTGATTTTCAGTAAATTCGTTCCGACGAAACTTTAGCGACACAAGTCCTTTCTTAAATAAAACTGGTTTATTCTTTCCGAATACAACTTTACAATACACTCAACTTCAACAGTCGCGCTATAACAAACTATAATTCACGTCTCATGAGCTCGACTTCAACAATACGTCTCTCTCTGACTGCAGTTCAATTACTCATTACCAACCCACATTGTCCCGTCACGTTGTGAGCGTCTTATATATATATACCAGACTAACATATATCTAGTAAATGCTAGGGCATTCACGAAGGAACAGGATATTTCTAGAAAATAGGTGGCGTGACACTAGTCACGTGACCTCGCTGACGCAACAATATATATATATATATTTGTTACCCGTGGTGGGCACAGCACACATAGCTCTTGTGTAGCTTTCTACTTAAAACAACAACGAATTCACCCTCTCACTTCATTGTAGTTGGTTGGCCAGCTGGATTCAGGGCAAATTCAACATCACACTGATCCAGGAAATATTCCAGGTAAAATCATTTTGGTTCACCGATTAAAATTTTTTTGTGGGGGGAGCATGCCCCTAGACGCTTCTAGAAGACAAGCACTTTATCGCGCGCTAATATTTTACTTTTTTCGAAAGTCTCACTCATACAGACTCCCAAAAGTTGGCAGCCCTGCATTTATTTTATTTTATTTTAACGGTGATAAATAATCCAAGTACGTTTATGTATTTTGTTTACTGCTGACGAGATTATCTTTTTCTGGGAGGATTAATGTGTATTTTTTTTCTTTTAGTTTGACGAATTTCCATTACTATTCAAGTGAACTGTGTACTACTGTATATTTTTTTCAGTTTGCTGCTGTTTTGCTTCTCTTTGGTGTGGCCACGGTAATGGGTGGCTTTATCAGAGGTTATGGTGGTCATGGTGGAGGGTATGGAGGCTATGGTGGTATTGGTGGAGGATATGGAGGCTATGGTGGTCATGGTGGTCTTGGTGGAGGATATGGAGGCTATGGTGGTCATGGTGGTCTTGGTGGAGGATATGGAGGCTATGGTGGTCATGGCAGAGGCTATGGTAGACATGGTGGAGGATATGGAGGTTATGGCAGAGGCTATGGAGGCTATCATTAAAAATAATCATTATATTTATTTGTCAGTCGCTGGAAAGACGAAACCAATACAGGTACACTAACTATTACTCATTATCAAGAATGGATAAAATATTATAAATTTTATTAAGATGTTCTAATTTGAAAATTCTAAGTGTGAGTTGCTAATGTTAACCTCATATAATACTTTTATATTTTGAAAGCACAAAAAAAATCTCTGAATGAAAAAAAATAACAAAGTACTCAACCTTTTGGATAAACGATGAGGATCGTTCGTCCTAAAGAATGGCCACTTTACTTTTTCCTCATTACGATGACTTTAGGATCTTTTTGTATTTTAGGAATTCATAAGGGAAAATCTAATTAATTTGTCCTTTTTTCTTATTATTTATGTGAATATCATGGTGTTTATTTGAAATATATAAAACTTTTTTTTCACTTAATTTAGTTTTATTTGATTCAATTAGTTAATTTTCTGTGTAGATCAACCCTTTACAACCTCATCTGCAGGCGGTCGCCTTTGTAAACAAGTCTAAAGAACGATCGTTTTGGTCATGCTTTCGTTTACACATATCTAAATATTGAGATACCGGTTTTCCTGTATTCTTGATACTGTCATTTCAATAAAACATTTTGAATGTGTTTTTTGAGTCAGTGTTATGATCTAACGCCAGTACACTACAAAGGACTATTTGAACTGCTCATCCATAATTTGAATTGTTTGTAATTAAGCACCAAACTACACAATGGGCTATCTGTGCTCTGCCCACCACAGGCATCGAAACCTGGATTCTAGCGTCGTAAGTCCGCAGACATACCGCTGTGCTACTGGGGGGGGGGGATAATTTGGAAGTTATAGTCTAAACTTCACAGGAAAGACTACTAGTCAATGTCACCAAACGTCAACTCTTGGGCTACCCTGAAAAGTTGGATTTGACCATTATTTATATAATTATATAATGCACCCACGGGCCCAAAGTTTGAAGCACAACCTTCATCTTTCTTTCATTCTCTTCCCCTCTCTTTTTTTTTTGTTAAATATTTCAGTGTCAAAACTGAAACATTCTATTAGCAGCAGTAATGAAAATATGGGTGTGCTATATCTTCAAATAATGCTTCACGGGTTAGTAATCACAGTTTACTTCATATTTCAGTCACTTAATAATTATATCGATTCATGTTTTAAAACTGTTATTCTTATGTTGCTTGACAGTTGTGTTTTCTGTGTAGTTAATTCAAACATCTCATACAACACTCATCAATGGCTTTATGTAATATCCATAATATGAATATAACATCAAACACGTATAATCATGCACGTTTATTGGTGGGGGCGTTATAATGTGACGGTCAATCCCACTATTCGTTGGTAAAAGAGTAGCCCAAGAGTTGGCGGTGGGTGGTGATGACTAGCTGCCTTCCCTCTAGTCTTACACTGCTAAATTAGGGACGGCTAGCGCAGATAGCCCTTGTGTAGCTTTGCGCGCAATTCATAACAAACAAACTCTGTCCACCACGGGTATCGAAACGCGATTTTTGCGTCTTAAGCCTGCAGTAGGAAATACATAGGACATTAATTACAAGTTTCTATGCATATATGTAAGTAGGAAATACGCAGGACATTAATTACAAGTATCTATATATATATATGTAAGTAGGAAATACACAGTACATTAATTACAAGTATCTATGTATATATGTAAATAGGAAATACACAGGACATTAATTACAAGTATCTATGTATATATGTAAGTAGGAAATACACAGTACATTAATTACAAGTATCTATGTATATATGTAAATAGGAAA